AGTGGTGGGTCTGTCTTGGAGCTGGCTGTCATTGGCTCTATCAGGCATAGGGGAAGCTTCTAGCAGCTTTTCACGGAAGCTGCCTCTGTAGCTGCCCCATTATGAAAACTTTGCCACACAAACCCAATACAGGCCATCATTGAACTTTGCATACCCTTGAACAGGCTTTTCAGTACAGCTCCCAGGAAGCCAGGGACACCCACATTTTTCTCATCCTTGTTTCTTTTTTTGCCATTGCTACCTCCAGTTCTTAGGCATCTACTGATCCTGAAACTCTCAGAAATACCAAGTATCCGCACAGGAATATAGTTAGTATGAAACACTAATATACTAAAAGAAACCCACATATTATCCACATTTCATCTTTCAGTGTAGTGGTCCACTTGCATGTTGGGGAACAGTGCCAGAAGATGTAGGCTACAGACATACAGTTCCCTGGAAGAGAACAAGAGGGATTATGTGGACTAATAAAGTAACACCATGTTTTCCTACCACCCTTATCCACATAGGCTACTTGACCTACTGTCAGAACTAACAGCACTGAAGGCCCCTAACTAATGGTTAACCATCTCCTGTGTACACAGGGCTTGACTGAAATGCTCTGGACCAGCTCTTTGGTTGGATCCAATCTTATCTTACTTGAAGCTGATAAAGGGGGTGCATCTACCCTTACTGCAGGTCCTCACAAATCCCTGGCAGAAGCAATCACTTTCTGGCAGATTCTGTCAACAATAAACAGCAGTGCTTTTCCGCAGTGTCACACCAGTCTCACCTCAGTAGGGCAGTCAGGCAACAGCAACATCTGAGCAATTTACATTGTCCCCATTCCTATGCGTGCCTTGCTGGTGAGGTTGTAGGGAGAAGGAAGGAAGGAGCAAGGTATCACAGGGAGAAATGTTTACCAACTGCTTTACAGTTCCCCAGGTTGTTAGCTCTTGCAGTTACTGGGATGAGTTCTGATCTTAAAAAAATGGCACGGGGTGTGAAAATTGATCAATATTTCTTTACCAGCATCCCCATTTTGAAAGTTACCTCCAGTATAGGGCTGGGAATCTGATATCCAGAAAAGCTCTCCAGGAGAACTATACTGACACTGCATTTAGTAAAAAAAAAAAAAAAAAAAAAGACCAGTAAGTGTGATGTTCCTGTGTTTACTTATCTCTGTTTATTTTTTCTGCCTTCGATCTATGGGAAGGGGAAAACTAACAAATTAGATGCCAAATGACAGCATTTCAGCATCTGAATATTGTAACTTGAAGTGATACTACCAGTTAGACCAAATTGAAAATGAATATTTTGTTCCTAATATAGTAACAAAAAACAGTGAACAAATGTAACTACAGCTGTTCTTTTTAAACTCAAAATACTAACTGCATTATACAGCTAGAGAACTCAAATGAAAGCCAGAGTTGTTTGAATTGTATTTTCCACAAGTAAACATTTCATATGTTGATAAAACAAACATACATGTTTTGTGAATACATGCAAAAATGATCTCTCTTTCATTTTGTGTGAAACATCTTACAGTCCTAATTCCAAAGAGCATTTGTCATGGCAGTACTTGAACACATGTGATAGGTTTTCAGCAAGTACCTAAACCTTAACACATTTAGTTTAGAAGTTCTTGTGAATCACAAAAGGCAGAGGCAGACAGCATAATGGTGACAGTAATCTGTCTCTTCAAAATTGTTGCTATTTAGATAGGAAAACCAAAATCCCTTCCTGAATTAACATGTGATTTTACCATAACATGCTTTCTATTAAATATCTTACCTCCAAGTGTTAGCATGTAAGTTCTTCTAGCACTGATTTAGCTGAATTATACACAAGCATACATCACAGACTCTCAATTCCAAAAGACATTTTACTTCGGTACAACTCTGGAACAAGAATAGCTTCATCTAAATCCATTTAAACCAGTCACAAACATGAAAGACACCATGAAACAAGTTACCATGAAGCTAAAGGAGTTAGCCTACATCTACAAGAAAATGACTGAGCTTAGATCAATTGGAGTCAACAGTTGTACCAGCACTGGCAATGCCTTATCTACTAAGATTGATGTAGCCCAGCAGAGCGCTCCCTGTAAGCATTCCCTGCAGAAACAGCCGTTTCACATCTTCAGCCATGCACTTCTATCCTCCTGTTGGAGATCAGTGTCCCCAAAGGAGACATGAAAGAGTATGTCCTCAGAACACTCTCCATCTGCTTCAGTGCCAAGCAGGTTGACTTAATTCGGACAGCTCTCTTTGTAAATTAAGCCAGCCTTTGTACCAAATTGGATGAGGCGTTCACAGCTTCCAAACCATTAGTTTAGATGGGGCAACGCTGACAAGTGTCAGCCACAGGGAGTTACAAACAACAAGAAATGACAATGTCTTTAGCCAGTACAGCCATTTCTTCAGTGAAGGTCTGACCCATATGTCTGACGTGATCATATATCTAGCCAAGGTGCAATTTGTACTAATTTGATTTGCACTCGTGTATTGAAAGCATTCCTCTTCCACATGCCCCCCCAAAACAAAACAAAGCTGTATTGCTGCAGTTTCCTGTTTTAACTTAGTTAAAGACCATGTACACCTCAGGGTACCAGTAGAGCCATTTGAGAAGAGACTGTACAGAGCTGCTTTTTTACCACAGTGCAGCTGCAGGTCTTTTTGCTGATACTGCTGAGCCATAGTAAAGTTGTGTGAGTGGCCCCAGCCCATTTCAGCACACATTGTAAGTTAAATCTAAGTATCTGCTGATATTGCATGGACTCAGACTAGGAGTCTCACTAATGGATTTAATTTTACTAATAGTGAAAAAGTTTCAAAAGGTATTTCAAGAGTTTATTAACAGCTGTTCTGAAATAACAAGCCTCTGTCAAGAACCTTATATTGCTTTCTGTAGTACTTCTGCTGGAAATCTGTAAGGCAGACTCTAAGGATTATTTGTGTTGGAAAGCAGTAAAATTTCATAAAGTAGAGCGCCCTGTGGAAAACCCTGGTAGAGACAAGGCATGTAGGTAGAGTTGAGGTTTTTTAAACTTTATTATATACCTGCTGCAGTTTATTATATACCTATTGTAGTTCTGCAGAACAATTTTTTCTTCCCCATGGTATGTGGTGGTCCAACTTTTTTTGTGTCAAGAAATAAACTGGGGTTGAGATCTTCCTGGCTTGGGCTATTTTGTGGTCATGGGCCCTTAAGTCTCCCCCCAGCAGTAGGTGCCCCCACTTTGCTCCACCCTTCAGCAGTGCATGTAAATCGGGGGCAGGGCAGGGAGTCCCAGCTCGGAGAGATGGTCCCTGCCTGCCAGGACGTCAGTGAGGGCTCAGCAAGCGGTACAACTGGGAACTATGTGTTTTCGACGTTGTTATAAGCTGGACAGAAAGAAAAAAGTTTCATTCATCCTCTTTTCTCCCTCGTTTGTTGCCGTGTGTGGTTTGAGGACTGCTGCATGCAACAGCCTTCATTGAGGGGCGTTGGAGCTCTTCCTTCTGCTCAAGCTTTCCTGGAGGCTTTCACGGGTATTCCAGGCTGCAGGAAAATGTACTGGGGAAATCATATTAGGTAAGGCTGCCTGAGCTGCCAGGGACCTTCTCTAGCCAAGGATGCTTTTCCTTTCAGCAGTGCTTTTTCTTTTTGATATCAGGCCAGGGAGCTGAAAGGAACAAATGTACATGGAACTCCGGGTGAAGTGAAGGCTAATGTTTTCCTCTTGCCTTTGCTGCTTTTTTAACTGCTGGCAACAACTTAGTTGTGGTAAAGAAATGTGCAGAAAGAGACATTTTTATCTGGTTGTCAACCTGCAAATGTATGGAATCCGTAGCTTTTTGGAAGCAAGCCCAATCAGTATGTTCTCTGCCCACCCACCTA